AATCCCTGAGGAACAATCCTTGGAGTAACAGTTCAGACAGTAACATTCCCTGGAGCAACATTCCAAAAGGAACGATCCCTGGAGTAATAGCTTATACGGTAACAGTCCTGTGAGTAACAATCCTTGGAGTGACAACTCCTGGAGCATTTTTTCAACTTTGCCAGTTTTTAGAGTAAAGGTTTGTATGGGCGTTATAAAAAGGAACATTGTCTCCTGCCGCAATTAACTACAGGTGAACAAACTCATGAATGAACTCAGTCCTCTGTTGAAATTGAATTAAAGAGGTCGTTTCTCTCTGCTCTGCAACACCCAAGAATGCCACATTGCGTGACACCTCTGTGGATATGGATTACCCTTTCTGACTTGGTCAGAGTGTTCTTTCTTCACTTAGGTCTTGGAAGACGCCCCAACACACCTCAGCATCAGTGACAATTAGGGATAAAATAAACTTAGCAAGACAGAAATTGGAATCACTGTCAATGCCAAATCCCTTCTGACCTGCTCACAACAAAAATCTGGATGGGAGTTACTAACCTCTACTACCCTTGAGCACTGCTTTCAGTTCTGGCCTCACTGCTACAGGAAAGATAGAAAGAAACTTGAAAGGGTTCAGAAAAGTTTTACACGGATATAGCCAGGGTTGGAGGGTTTGAGCCATAGGGAGGAGGTGAATAGTCTGAAGCTTTGTCCCCCTGGAGCGTGAGAGGCTGAGGGGTGACCTTATAGAGGTTTATGAAAACATGAGGAGCATGGATAGGGTGAATAGCCGAGGTCTTTTCCCCAGGGTATGGGAGTCCAAAGCTAGAAGGCATGGGTTTAAGATGAGAGGGCAAAGATTTAAAAAGGATCTAAGGGGCAGTGTTTTCTCGCAGAGGGTATGGAATGAGCTGCCACAGGAAGTGGTGGAGGCTGGTACAATTATGACATTTAAAAGGCATCTGGATGGGTATGTGAATAGGAAGGGTTTAGAGGGATATGGGCCAAATGCTGGCAAATGGGACTAGATTAATTTAGGATATCTGGGGCAGCATGGATGCGTTGGACTGAGGGGTCTGTTTCTGTGCTGTACATCTGTATGTCTCTATTGTGCATCTAAGTATCCCCTAATTTCACACTGATGAGTCTAACTTGAATTGTTGAACTGTCTCCCTTCTCTCTCGCCCATATCCCCAGGCCAAAGTCTCCTCAAGCCACAAAATCAAATGTGGTTGTTTGATGAGTGTTTTTGGAGGTTTTGTGAAAGGTGACATGTAAATGAGTTGATGTAGAATCCTGACAGTGAAGAAATAGGCCATTTGGCCCATCAAGTCTGTACCAGCCCCCAAAGAGCATCCCACTCAGATCCACCCATATTCCATAACCCCACATTTCCCATAGCTAACCCACCCAGGCTGTACATCCCCGGATACTATGGGTAATCTAGCATGGCCAATCCATCCTAACATGCACATCTTTGGACTGTGGGAGGAAACTGGAGCACCTGGAGGAAACCCACGCAGACACGGGGAGAATGTGCAAACTCCACACAAACAGTTGCCCGAGGGTGGGATTGAACCCGGGTCCCTGGCGCCGTGAGGCAGCAGTGCTAACCACTGAGTCACCATGCTGTGTAGTCAGAGCTGTTAATTCATTGGTTGGCTCAAGGGTTGGTTTCTTCTATTTATATTTTCTATAGCCAACGCTCAAGGCTGGAAACTGTTGGATAATGAGATCAACGTCACAGAACTGAGCTCTGATTTGCCACATCACTAGGTGGGACTGGAGAGAGGGGACATGGGCACCTGAGGAGCTGCCAAAACGTGCTTCCTCCCCAAATGCAAATCTCAGAGTCATTCGTTTTCCAGAGAAGCAGAGAGATTATCTGGATCTTCAGAACAGCAGCTGGAATATTCATCGGGGCCTATGGTTTTTGCCGTATCCTGTATGTTCAACCATTTCTTGCTAGAGTGGGAAGTGAATTGAATTAACTGAAGACTGGCATCTGGTTCTGCTGGGGATCACTGGCGATGGACCACGCACTGGGTACTGGGCTGCAGGAGGTTGCAAATGCTTCAGTCTTTTGTCTTCAGGTGCTGGGGCTCTCCATCATCGGTGATCTTCCTCCTCCAGTGAATTTAACTGTCCACCACCACTCACAACTGGATCTTCGGTCTGATCTGTTGGCCATGGGATAGTCTATGGGCTACTATTTCCGTTGTTTAGCATGCATACTGTTGTAGCTTCATATTTAGCATGGTGGTAGTGCCACACAATACAACGGATGGTGTCTTCAGCTTGAAAAACCAGTCTTTGTCTCCACAGGTAGTTAGTTCTTGATGTAATGTCAAAGTTTAAGGCCTTGGCAGCTGATGGCATTGGTCAGTATTGGCAGCACAAGGACGCTCAAGGTTCCAGAACTGAGGGTGGACAGAGACCTTGGAGGATCCCACATGCAGTGTTGATTTTGTGATGTTTAAGTGGTGCCAAGGCAGAAGAGCTGGCATTGGCCTCAGTGGCCAAGATTACAGACAGGAAAAGAAAGGGCAGGAATCAACTCTTGATAGTGATGCAAGGATGTTGGGAAAGAGATTGTTTCAGCTCACCTAAGATACCCAGGCCGGTCATTGGGTGCAAAGAACTCTCCTGGTGTAATCATTCCTTAGTAAGTGTGAACCAGAAATAAAACAACTTTCTAGGTTTGACATTTGGTTCTGTTTGAGTTGCAGCTGGGCAGGTGAACTGCTTTGAACTGTGATACTATTAGCACTGAATTCCCCCACTGTCAACATCTTAACATTGACCAGAAACTCAACTGGACCAACTTATAAATCCCATGGCTACAAGAGCAGGTCAGAGGCTTGAATATTGCAACCAGTAACTCACTTCTCCACTCCCTCCCAAAGCCTGTCCCACCATCTACAAGGCACAAGTCAGAGGTGTGAGGGAACACGCCCCACTTGCCCTGGATGGGGGCAGCTCCAACAACACTCAAGAAGCTCGACGCCATCCAGGACAAAGCAGCCCCCGGCACCACATCCACAAACATCCCACTCCCCCCACCACCAACGCTCAGTAGCAGCAGTGTGTACCATCTACAAGATGCGCTGCAGCAACTCACCAAGGCTTCTGAGACAGTACTTTCCAAACCCAAGACTTCTCCCATCTGGAAGGACAAGGGGCAGCAGATACATGGGAACACCACCCCCTGCAAGTTCCCCTGCGAGTCACTCACCATCCTGACTCTGTAAATGTCTCACCATTCCTTCACTATCACTGGGTCAAAATCCTGGAATTCCCTCCCCCAAAGGGCGCCTCCTATGGCACACAGACTGCGGCGGTTCAAGAAGGCAGCTCACCACCACCTTCTCGAGGGGGGGCAATTAGGGATGGGCAACAAATACTGGTCTAGCCGGTGATGTGCACATCCTGTGAAAGAGTTTAAAGCAAAGAATAGTTATGCAAGGCCGATCTTCAATCCATTTTGACATCTTAACCAAACACGTCAAGAGGTTTAAACTGTTTTGCTGATGAACAGACGTGACTGGGTATGGGAGCTGCCCATATTTTTAGGGTGGGGTACAGTTTTCCCACTGCACACCTCCATTTCGACAGAGTGCCCAGACGGAGGGTATGGCAATGGTCATCAGATTGTAGACAGGGGGGACAGAGTTGCTGATCCTCCCCTGAGCTGGAGGCTCCGGGAATTGGGGATTAATCCCCAGGGTTGCCATTGGGAGTGACCCCGGAGGAACCTCCCATGAGGGTGGTGGGGGCGGAGAAAGGCAGCTCACCTGATGGACAAGCATCATCCAGTTGGGTGGCCAAGAATCTCTTAGCAATGCCCAGTTGCCCTCCCCCAATGGAGGTGCTGGTTGGCCATTGGCGGATGGAGAGATCCTGAGGTGAAAGCTCTGGGAATCCACTCAACCGTAGTTGGTACCTCTTGGGGTCGACGTGGCAACCATTTTGGCCAATCCTATGCACTCCTCACCCTCCAGTGTGCACAGGAAGTACAGCAAGAGAGAAGGAGACAAACTAAACCTCAACAACAGAAGAAGAGAAAATGAGGCCTGATGGGACGGAGGGTGGTTACTCAGCAGTTCAGAATGATTTAAATAAGGTGTTTTCTCTTAAAAAAAATCATTGCCGCATACCGGACTGTTATAAAAATACATTTATGACGGTAGCAATACTACATCAATGTTCAACCCTTGGATTTCATTCCAGTCTTTCGTTCTTCATATACTCAAAGTCTTCATTTGAATGCAGTCGTCCCGCAGTACCACCAACTCAATGTTGAAATATTGGGATTTTTTGGAGGAGAGGGGGGTGTCCAGGGTGACAGAGCGGGCAATATCCGTCGACTTGGGGCTGGCGAAGAATTTCAGGAGTGGCGCCAGGCCCTTTGTCATGTCACTCCGGGCGCCCTCGTTCACCAGGCAGTAAAGGATGGGGTCGGCCACGCAGTTGAGGCTGGTCAGGGCCAGCGAGACGTGGTAGGCCGTGAAAATGTTCTCCTCGAAGCTGCAGTCCCAGGGCCTGCTCAGGTACATGACGCTCCTCAGGAGGAGGATAATGTGGTACGGCGCAAAGCACAGCAGGAGGATAGCGATGAGGCCGAGGGCCAGGCGTTTAATCTTCACCTTCTCCCCCTTCTCGGTGGACAAGTTGCCCTTGATGGCCTTCAGGATGCCCTGGTAGGAGAAGAGCATCAAGATCCAGGGGAACAGGAAGCCGATGAAAACGCGGTAGAGGTTCATCTGGGCCACCCACTTCTCCATGGGGTACTTTTCGAAGCAGAACGTGTGGTTGAAGCGGTCTTCGAAGAGTTCGTTGTGGAAGAGCGGGGCGCAGTTGGCCCCAATCTCGATTGTCCAGACCACCAGGCTGGTGATGACCGCCGTCTTGACCCGACGGATCTTGGCGAATTTCAGCGGGTGGGCTACGGCCAAGTAGCGATCAACCGAGATGCAGCTGAGGAAGGCGATGCTGATGTAGATGTTGGTGTAGAGGATGAAGCCGAAGAGCTTGCAGGATTCCGGCCCCAGGATCCAGTTATCCTGGTGGAGGAAGTAGTTAATCCACGGCGGCAGGGTGGCGATGTAGAGGAGGTCAGAGATGGACAAGTTGAGGAGGTAGACGCCCAGCTCATTCCTCTGCTTGACCTGCAGGTAGGCCGCCCACAGTGCCAGGCAGTTGGTTGGGAGCCCGATGACGATGACAAAGATGTACAAAGTCGGGGGGAAGAGGCTGTCCAACCTCGAGTCCACGTCGCAGCTCTCATCGCTGATGTTGCACATTTTCCTCGGGATTGGGTGAGGGGGAGAGGGGAATCCTCAGGCCATCACTGTTGCAAATCTGTGTAACTCAGACACACCCATCGCCTGAAAACGCACGCCGCTCAGTCGACAATCCGGGGCAATCGGCAGCCCCCCCACCCCCTGCCCACAGTAAAACTTAGTCAACTCAACCGGTTTCCATGAACTATTTCTGGGGGTGAGTGGTGGGTACTCCACTGCTCTCAACGAAGTCTGGTCTATGACGATGGAGGACGAGCTATTATCTTCAACAATGTGCGTGTGTATCCTCTCCCTTTGACTCTTCCCAATCGTTGTTGGGCAGTGGAGACGGGGAAGTTATCTACTGGACACTCGGGGATTTGCAAGTCTGATGTCCCATCAAGTAAAACGATGCCTGGAAAACAAAAGAGAGTCATTTATTTTGGTGGGGATTCTTATGGTAGCACCTTTCGTCGTTGAGGAAACAGTGAGACCTTGCTTTTTTCTCCCCAGTCCTGCTTCCACTGGCAACTTGTAGAGATGTACAACACAGAAACAGACCCTTCAATCCAACTCATCCATGCTGACCACATATTACTCTAGTTCCATTTGCCAGCATTTGGCCCATATCCCTCTAAACCCTTCCTACTCATATACCCATTCACATGTTTTTTAAATGTTGTAATTATACCAGCCTCCACCACTTCCTCTGGCAGCTCGTGCCACACATGCTGGTCCCTCAATGTTCAGCATTTCAGACTAGAGGTGTGTGCGTCCAGCTATTCGACTGCAATGGGCACACCGGCCTGATTTCAAGGTCACCACCCACCCCCAGTACCCAGGCCTAGTGCACTTTTCATGTGCCAAGTGATAATAGGGAACCTTTATTTTGTCTGATTACTTTTTTTTGAATACCCAACCTTACTTTTCCCAAGGATAAAAACATAAGGAATAGAGATTTGGGGCAACACGGTGGCTCAGTGGTTAGCACTGCTGCCTCACAGCACCAGGGACCTGGGTTCGATCCCACCCTCAGGCGACTGTCTGTGTGGAGTTTGCATGTTATCCCTGAGTCTGTGCGGGTTTCCTCCGGGTGCTCTGGTTTCCTCCCACAGCCCAAAGATGTGCAGGTTAGGGTGGATTGGCCATGCTAAATTACCCATAGTGTCCAGGGTTGCACAGGTGGGTTAACCATGGGGAATGTAGGGTTACAGGGATATGGTAGGGGGCTGAGTCTGGGTGTGATGCCCTTCAGAGGGTCAGTGTGGACTCAATGGGCTGAACAGTCTGTTTCCTCAGTGTGGGGGTTCTATGAGGAGCAGGACTTGACCATTCGGCCCCTTGAGCCTGCTCTGCTATAAATCACAATCGGGGCTTATCAGTTGTCTCTTTCCTGCCAGTTCCCCAACACCTTGGCTACAATTATGAACCATCTGATGCTGAGATAACAGTGTGAGTGACTAAAATCACACCAGAACTGGTTTCTACTTGAGGAAAGCTAGTTTCCGTGATATTTCTGAGTTGTGTTTTTTTTCTGGTTTAGGACTCGTGTTAATCTGGTTGGGCCCTTGGGGTAATGTTGGCAAGGTTGGCACTTACTGCCCTCAAGGAGAGACTGGTGAGCCTTCTTCTCAAACCATTGCAGTGCCCTCTCAAGAACAGAATGTCCGTAGTTAGAGCAGCATTTTAACTCAGCAAAAACGGCCAGTAACCTGTCCATCTTCTCTCCCACCTATCCGTCCCTCCCACCTCACTGACCAATCCCTACCACTGCCTATCACCTATCACCATCCCACCTACCTCCCCCGAGCCCCACCCCTCCTCCCTCTATTTATTTCTGAGCTCCCTTCCCCCTCCCCCATTTTCTGAAGAAGGGTTCCGGCCTGAAACGTCAACTTTCCTGCTCATTTGATGCTGCCTGGCCTGCTGTGTTCCTCCAGCTCCACACTGTGTTATCTCTGACTCCAGCATCGGCAGTTCTTGCCCTCCCTCAGTGTATTTTCAAGTCAGGATGGAGTGTGACTTGTTTGGGGGAGGCGCTAATGCTTGACACTCTTAACCTCCAAAGTGGAGGGCAATAGGGGCTGGGCTGGCATGATGCCAACAGGGGCACTTACCAGAGAAGGGAGCCTCATAGACCTCTCTAGCGTGTACGCACATAATGGCAATTCAACTGGACCAATGCATGGGCTAACGCCCTGGAGAAATGAGTTCAAATCCCGCCATGGTACCCGGGGAATTTAAATTCAATTATTTAATAGATCCGGAATGAAAGTTTCACTATTAATAATCAAGAAATCACAGGCGTGCTATGTTCGCTCACTAGGTGGAGGCGGAGTTGTGGATTTTATTTTCCCCCTTTTTATTCATTCACGGGATGAGGGTGTCGCTGGCCAGGCCCAGCATTTATTGCCCATCCCGAATTGTCCAGAGGGCAGTTGAAAGGTCAACCACATTGCTGTGGGTCTGGAGTCACATGTAGGCCAGACCGGGTAAGGATGGCAGTTTCCTTCCCTAAAGGACATAAGTGAGCCAGATGGAAAAGCTCAGCAGGTCTGGCAGCATCTGTGAAGAGAAATCAGAGTTAACGTCTTTCCCCAGACCTGCCAGGCTTTTCCAGCAATTTCTGATTTGCAACATCTGCAGTTCTTATTTCGTGAACCAGATGGGTTTTGTTCCCCTGACAATCAACAATGGAATCATGGTCATCATTAGACTCTTAATTCCAGATTTTAATTGAACTAAAATTCCACCATCTGCCATGGTGGGACTTGAACCTGAGCCTTCAGAGTGTTGCCTGGGCTGTCGGGTTAACAATCCAAGCAGTAATACCACTAGGCCACCACCTCCTCTAGATACTGAATGTGATGTGGGTTCAAATCTCGCTGTGGTAGCTGATGGAATCTAAATTCAATCCAGGCTTGGAAGTAAATCTCAGTGATGGGGACCTTGAAATGATCCTCCATCGTCGTAAAAACCAATCTAGTTCACCCAAGGCCTTTAGGGAAGGAAATCTGCCGTCTTTACCTGGTCTGGGCCTACACATGACTCCAGACCCACAGCAATGTAGTTGACTCTTAACTACTGTCTGAAATGAGCTCAATTTCATTAAACCATTGCAGAAAACTCAAATAACACTGTGGAAGTCCAGGACCAGAGGGGATAGTCTCAGAATTCAGGGGCATCAATTTAAAACTGAGATGAGGAGAATTTCTTCTCTCAGGGGGTTGAGGGTCTTTGGAACTCCTTGCCACAGAAGGCTGTGGGGGCGCAGAGGCCTTGCATACATCCAAGGCTGAGATTATTGATCGGTCGGGGAATCAAGGGTTACAGGAAAAGGGCAGGAGAGGGGACATGAGGCATTGTGATCCTACTGAGTAGTAGAACAGCCTTGGAGGGCTGAATGGCCTACTCCTGTTCCTATTTTTTACGATATTATGAACCTACTATATGGAGTGGCAGTGGTTCAACCATCATCTTTTCAAGCATGATTAAGGCTAGCCAACAAATACTCAACTCCCGAGAACAAATAGGAAAAAAAATGTGCACAGTGATTCCTCAGGGGAGAGAACATTTTCCAGTAAAGGGTTTCTTGGGCTGCTCGCATATTTTAAAAAATCTTTATTCTTAGCCCTTGCGCTGAGTAGCTTGCCAGGGCAATGTCAGAGTCAACCACATTGCTGTGGGTCTGGAATAATGTTTCCCAAATGCTCTCCCTCATTGTGGCTCTCTTAATGTAGGATTGAAAATGGTCCCTGTGTGAGATTGGGATGGGTGGGCTGAGAGAGCAGGGACAGAGCTGTTATAACTCAGCCAGATCTCCGTGAGAGTCAATGCTACTTCAGAAGTTCATGATCCCTACTGGATCTCAACCCTTACTTCGGGGAACCCTAGTCTACAGTCCTATGTAGGCAAGACCAGATAGTGTTGGCAGATTTTCTTCCCTAAAATGGGGAGCAGATGAATCAGATGGGATTTTACAACAATAGAGTTTATAAAATCATGAGGGGTATAGAAAGGGTTAATGGTAGGTGTCTTTTCCCTAGGATGGGGGATTTCAAGACTAAGGGAGTACATTTTTAAGGTGAGAGGAGAGAGATTTAAAAAAGACATGAGGGGTAATTTTTTTCTACACAGGGGGTTGTTTTGTGCATGGTTTGAACTTCCTGAGGGAGTGGTGGATGTGGGCACAGTTGCAATACTTAAAAGACATTTGGATAAGTACATGAAGAGGAAAGATTTAGAGGGATATGGGCCAAACACAGGGAATTGGGACTAGTTTAGTTTTGGGATCATGTTTGGCATGACCAAAGGGTCCGTTTCCATGCGTATGACTCACCACTTCTGAGACTAACTTGATAGTCCAGGTTTCATTGAATCCCTACAGTGTGGGAGCAGGCCATTCGGCCCATTGAGTCCACACAGACTCTCTGAAAAGCATTCCACCCAATTTATGAACTGAATTTAAACTCCACAAGCTGCCAGAGCAGGATTTGAACCAATGTGGTCAGCGCTTTTGGATTACCAATTCATTGGCATTACCATGAACCCATCACCTCTCTGGGAAAAGATATTGTTTCAAGTTGAATTGTGGTCTAGCTTGACATTGTAAACATGATAGAAATTCAAGCCACACAGGGCTTTAGAAATGGTCTGACTGCTGATCTAACAAACCAGGGCACAAGTGGTGAAGGTGTTAATGATTATACTGTCTGGATCAGATCTGGCACTGACTCACACCATTCAGAGTATGATTTGCCAGTCAGCAATACTCTCTCACATGCAAAGGGAGATGACTGCTGGTGGTTTAACCTGAGGGTCAGCACCCCTCAGGCGAGGGGACAAGGTTGGAGCTCAAGGTGGGGACTGAACCCATGCTACTGGTGTCATGCACATTGTGAGCCAGCAATCCAGCCAGCTGAGCTATCCGCCTGGCACCAGTGACCTCACAGAGCCCTGGGAAGATGATGTGACACACAGCAGGCTGAGGTGACTCCTAACCGTCGCAGGTGTTGAGTGAAATCTACGGGTTTGGTGTTGCTGAAGACTGATTGCCAACGAGCCCCTATGTTGACAAAGTCACTGTTGACTCTACACCGGCCCCCATCCTGGTAGAGGTTAACCACCATCGTGGACATGCGAGTGTAGCTGGAACAGAAGTCAGGGCCCTGCGCTATGTTGCAGCAGGTTCTGCATTCTGGCGCGCTAATTGCCCGTGACAGTGTGTGAACTGTGTGCCTGCATATCTCTGCAGAATGCTGCTGATCTTGTCTACCTGCTTTAAAACTTATTCCAGTGCCTCAACACTGCCCCTGCACCCACTCGCACTCCAGGGTGTCTCTGTGGGACCCTCACTATGAGGGTTACAGCAACGGCCACTGTACGTAGGAATCAGTTCTGAGGAAGGGTCACACG